TTATATATATTTAAATAGTATATTATATAGCAATTATATAGAAACAATTTGATTGGCTAAAAGGAAGTGTGATACAATCATATGACTCACATAACTTGAGATAATACAAGGTTATACAAAGAAGTGCTTTAGGTTACATAAAAGAGTAATACAAAAAACCAATACAAGTTCTTTCAAGTTCTTCTATACAGAATCTCCCAAATTCTCTCTATACAAAGTTTAAGTATTTTGGATACAAAATCTCCAGATTTCTTTTTTTCAAATTTTTCTTTACAAATAATAACTAAATATAAACAAAATGAGTAATGTTTATATTCTCCAACTTCCTCTAACACAATTCTTCCAACTTTTCCCAACACAATCCCCAACTTTCTCTAGTACAATCCTCAACTTCCCTGCTAAGTGTCATTAATTTACATACTATTTCTAATAGGATTCTAAAAAAAAGCCTCTAAAATACTATACTACTATAATAAAAGAAAGTTAGAATTAGGATTTGTTTTTGGAACCCTATCAGGAACAGTACTCAAATAAACTTTTTTTTAACTTCATCAAGATCGATATTGCTGGCCGGGTCTGTTTAAAAGATTCATATTATAAAAACCAAGATATTAAATTTGTGTATAATTTATTTTATTATTTTAGATGCTTAAATAATAATATTTTTGGCAGAATTTTATTTAAAACAACATTTGTTTAAATATTTAAATTATTAATTTGTTTAATATAAACAAAACTCAAACCAAGCTATATAACAGTCAACTGAGATGTTATATAAAATTAATCTATTATAAATTTTTAAAAATTTATTATTATATTAAAATAAGTTTTACTTGTACTGTATTTAAAAAATTAAATTCAAGTAACAAAAAAAATTCTTGTAAATATATTGGTTCTATATTTCTTGATCATTTTATGCATCCAGCTATTTTTTAATCATGCATATAAATACCTTTAGAATCATTCATCTAGATCCAATTTTGTAAATCTTTTTTTTTAAATTGTAAATTCATTCATTCTCTCTTCTGCCATAGTTTTTAATGCCGGCAAGAATCGATAAAATTTAAGCAGGATAAGAAAATTCGATTGATTGTTGTCAATAAAACAACCAAATATAAGTAACTCCTTTAACACAAAACGGTTACAATTTATTATTTTATTTAGAATATATTTTTTGTAATACTTTATCCTATTTAAACAATTATGTCATTATATTATAAAAAGAATTTACAAATAACTGTCTAATTATTAAAATTTTACATTATATTACGTCGTCATAATATTATAGATTTACGGATCCCCATAAAGTTCTTGAAAGGGACAATATTCTTCTCCCCAATTTAAAAAAAGATACAACAAACCAAAATAAAAACATTATTCCTTATTATGTTAAAAAAAAAAAAAAAGGATTAGCATAAATTTATTATTAAATATTTGTAGCCAAAAAGAAACTAAATAAATTATTATAATTACCAGCAAGCACATAAGACATCATTAGGTAAAATATATCTAACCAAGGAGATTTTCCACTTTCTGAAACTAAACCGTGAATATTATCTTCAAGAATTTTTAGCTAACAGTTTATTAGAGTTAATATAATAATTAAAAATTGGAAAAATATCTATGAGAAGTAGAAGTTACAAAACCTCATGAAAGTAATCATGATTCACAGCGAGTGTCATCTCTTCAAACTTCTCAAACATAGTTTTCATTTCTTCAGAAATACTATTTAAATTAATATAGAAAATGAATCATTATTATTCTTATAATTAAGTCCAAAGTATAAAGTCTAGAAACAATACCTATCATGTTGAGTTTTTAATTGATTTACCGTATTTTCAATATTGGCTAGTGAACTATTCAAGGATTTTGTTTTCTCATCAATATTCTTTTTCAATTCATACACTCTTGCTATAGGTGTGTGATGGCCTTCAGTATTTAAAGGGTTTTGACTTTGTGACGAAGATGATCGATAATTATTTTTAACGATAAATTCTTCTCCATTTGATATAATTTCCTTTGAGAGATGATATTTGCTATAAATATGGTCCGTGTTATTAACATATGCGTGCATAACGGATTTTAAATACCTTGTGCGTCTCTAACAATTTTGTTGCTTCTTCAATATACTCATCACATCGCGCAATCAACATAGATGTTTCTTGCTGATTAATTCTAAAGTTCAAAAATCATGATGGATTTGTCGCGGACTTAACAGCATTATATAAAATACAACAATCAAATATATACCTCTTCTGAGTATGAGGAGCATCTCCAACAAGAGATATCCGAAGGTCGTATAAAGTGTTATCCAATTCGAATTCAGTCTTACTTTTACGACGAACAAATTTATTAAACCTGAAATCATCATTTGATCTGATATTCAATTCCACTAGAAAATATCTGTAGTGAGTAACTTAAAACATTAAAAATTTTTTTTTATTTAGTACATGCGACACACATACCATATCGACTATTATCTTTTTTATATAGTTCTCTTAAATTTGGAGGAAGAATTTCAAGATCGACTTTAATTGTTTCGTCAACATAATCTTCTGGTTCATCGTCATCCTCTAATAGGAGATAAATTTTGTTACATTCACATTAAAAATATGATTACTCGTATGAATTATATTATAATAACCTTCAGATTCAGAACTATAGTCCATAATTTTATTATTATTTACATTTTCATCAGTATCGACTTTTTTACGGTGTTCTTCAACATGTAAAGTTTCGGCTATAGATTGCTTTGATTCCGAAGATAAATAAGGTTCCATTGAGGTATTCTTTTCAAATAAAAAAAAAGTATCTTATCTTTAACTTGTTCTGTTAAATTAATATAAATTGTATTATAAATGATAATATTAAGCATACTTTAATCGAGTCGAATTCCATAGAATGTCTCGCCGAAGAACCATTGCTAGAAGCGATATACATAGAGTTGTCATCGGAAAGCACAATCAAGGTATCACGATTTGGC